TGATGCCAACCCCTCAGAGGACCTCAGATGATGCCAACCCTGAAACAACATATAGAACTACCACATTTTGCTTTAAGTTTGATTGCATCATATAATAATTGCTGTTAATAGTGTTCATCGTCTGTTTGATTAAGTCTTTAATTGATTTTTCCATACATTTCTGCCATATGTACATTAACTGACAGTCACCACTGATAAGCTACCACTAAATATTGTAGAAACTTAATTTGCTGTAAAGTTGCTTTGCAACGATTTGTATCGTGAAAAGCGCTATACAAATAAACTTGAATTGACATATACTGTCTTTTTACGCGTTGCATCGCACCGCGTAAACCTAAAACCATGTCTGCATTTGTGATCGGAGAAATTACAAACAACAAGCGCTACTCTACACTGCTCAAAGCTCGCGTTTAAATCATCAGTGGCAAATCCTTTAAATATGAAATCTTGCTCACAGTCTGTGAACAGCCGGCATTGTAGTCTACTCTCAGGAAATCAGGAAACAGTCCTCCATAAAATGTGCTGCACACATCTGAATATTTAGGTTGAAGTGTTCTAGAACAGTGTTGTAAATGCAACTTAACCACTGATTTCTAGTCGTGTCCTCTTTTGGAGGGCCAAACAAAGTAGTTTCGCTTTCACAACGAAACGCATAGCGTCACACACGGCGGGCTTAAGTGAGCAGATGCGGGCGGGCTTGAGTGAGGATTATCCGGCGGGCTTGCGGCAGCCACATAGAGAAAGAATCGCATCATATGACCCCTTTAATTAAAAAAACGGAATAATTAGTTATATCCTTGCCCAAATGAAATCTGATATCTGACAGATTCAGTGCTGAAACTCCAGCCATTGTGAGATAGTTTCAGGTGTTGATGCTTTTCCTGCTAACAAGCCTGTGAGGTCATTTCATTTAACACACACATCAGGGAAAAAAAAATATATTTTTGTTTATTTATATTTAAGTAACTCTTTTCACTATCAGCATCAGGTGAGCTGAGACAAGTTTATTACATCAACCTTTAACTCCCGTGAACGGAACAATAAAGCTCCGCCCTCTTGATCTCTAACGGCGACCCTGCCTGGTCTCCCAGGAAACATGCTGTGGTGCCAGGCAATCTCTCTCGCTCTCTCTCTCTGAAAGATCTCGCTGTGCTGAAAATGTTCCATTGCTGCTGTAATTCTCGGTGAAACACCGCGTAATTTCTGTGGTGAAGGAATTTAATTAAATTCCTGTCATTTTGTTCTTAACTTATTAGTTACTTAAGCTCACATTTTATCATGCTCTTTAAAACTGTAAGGCATCTTAAAGCTACGTATTTTATCTCAGTGGATTTTTACATCCCCTGCCACTCATGATATGTGATAAATTAGTACAGATTGTAAAGTCCTAGGGTTTCAGATGTGAACATGTTGTGAAGAATATAAAGACAGATATTAAATGTCCCAATTTGGAACATATAAACAAAAAATAAAGTCTGTTAGGACTGCCACCGACAGGCTGGATGATCGATTAATTGCCTGTTTGTCAGTCTGCCATGTCTGTCTTGTTGTGTTCCTCACAAGCTTTGGATGAAAGCGTCTGCTAAATGAACAAATGTACACGTCTGTCTGGAAGGCATGTGTGTTTACATCACTTCCTGTTTTTATTTTTCAGTGGGAATGTTCATGGTTCTTCCTCCTCTGCTGTTCATTTCTCCTTCTCTTCGTCTGGTCCTACTTCTGGTTGGAGGCTCAAAATGACTACAACGAGTTCAACTGGTGAGTTCAGCCTGAGGTTTGGAGGAACCTGCTGTTTTAGATGTGACATCAGCAGGTCATTAACTCTGAACCCTGCTGTGTGTCTTCACCACGAAGCTGACATCAAACCATGATTGCACATTTCATTACTAGAGCATGTTTTATGAGTTTACTAGTTTGATTGCAAGGTTTACTCTGTTATTTTGATAAACATGGATTGCTTAACAAGTTTCTGAATTAATTTTATACACTAAACATTGGAAAACATCATGTGCTTAGCATGCTCTTTTTTTTTTTTAATGTGTTTTTTTATCATTACTTTTTTAAAATTATTTTATTTATAATTTTCTGTTGTATTTTTTTTATTATTATTATTATTTTATTTTGATTTTTTTTTTTCAGATTCTTGCACTTTGGCACATTGTACTGGGACAGCAGCTTAATTTGTACTGGATCCATAAGGTGAGAAGTTTATAAATCGGTTTAACTTTTGAGCTAGACTGGGGTTCTTCATCTATATTAAAACAAGTTTTATTTTGCACAGATTGTAGTTCTGGCTATTCTGCTCACCACCACAACAGGAGTGGTGTTCATTGACGATTTCTGGCAGGACGAATGGGACATTGTCATAATTTCTCTGCAGGTTGGATCAACCTCATCAGCATATTACTGTCCAGTGTCTTGAGGTCTTTCTTGACAAATAATTTAGGCTTTGTCCTAATGTGATCAGTGATTTGTTGTAGTTCACAGGGCCGTTCTTACACATCGGGGCTTTAGCTGTGGTCACAGCATTAGGTTGGGTCATCGCCGGTCAGGTGGTCCGCGTGGAAAGATCAAGTGAGTTGAAACGTCATGTGAGGGGAAATGGCAGTTCGGGTCAAAGCCTGGCCGACCCCTACACCTATTTGAATTTTAAATATATGTACACTACCATACAAAAGTTTGGGGTCAGTACTTTTTTGTGATCAAGTAAATGCAGTCTTGGTGAGCATATGAGACGCACCAACCCCAAACTTTTGAACAGCTGTGTTTACATTTTGACTTTTTTTTTATTTTATTTTTATTTTTTTACACCATATGTTTATGTGTTTATCCAGGACTCCAAGTTGTAACACTGGTGATTTATGTGAGCCTTCTCCTGGTTCTCTATCTGGTTCCCCTCTTCATCTCATCTCCCTGCATCATGGACCGGTCCAAGCTTGGTCCTCGTCCCGCTGTCATTGGCCGTCGTGGAGCTCCAATGGTGAGTTTCATAATCCTGGTTTTCCAGGCTGGAACATCACCCTTATTTGAACCCAGTACCTGTGACATGGTTTGTCTGTGGAATCCAGGGTTCTTTCTGAAGTTTAGCAACAATTAGAAAGCACAGGAAGGATTGTGTGTCACTGCTGTAGAGATCAACACTTACACTTTGTCTAAGCATTAAGCTGATTGTACAATGAAGCTTAAACCGGTTTGTTTGACTTCCTCGAAGGAGTGTTAAGATAGTAACTCCCATTACACACTGCCTCTTTCTCTCAGCTCGCTCCAGAACACACCATTATGTCCTTCAGTAAAGCGCTGCAACAGAAAGTCACTGCCCTGGAAGCAGATGTTACCATCAGGTATCCATTTTGTTGTTTTTTTGTGAAACATACCTCTCATACCTTTTTGAATGAATCGTAATCCTTTTTTTAAATTAATTTTTTTTATTTTATATACAGACCTTTTTGAATGTGAGAAAAGAATGGCAGCAGCTCTAATTGGCTCTCAGTAACTTGACTGTAATGTGATTGAATGCTTTCTTTCACTTCAGTCTGGATGGAGTGCCTTTTTTGATGAGGGACCGCACACTCCGCAGGACCACCAATGTGGACAAACTGTTTCCGGCCCGTCAGGACCACGACGCCTCGTTCTTTAACTGGACAGAAATTCGCAGTCTCAATGCTGGACTTTGGTTCCTCAGGGTATTAAATTTGATTTGATTTCTTATTTCTTTTGTCCACCTTCACAGTTACTAAAGATTGAGGTTGTTTGTCCCTCAGGATGACCCATACTGGACAGTGCAGTACATGTCTGAAAAAGATCGCAACCGCACGGCCAATCAGACGGTGTGTAGCCTCGCAGAGCTGCTGCGTCTGGCTGCTAGAATGAACCGTTCAGTGATTTTCAGCCTGCGGCGGCCTCCGCGCCAACATCCCCACCACCAGCTCTGGGTCAGTGATGCACTGAAGGTGATTCAGAGATCCAGCATCCTACCAGAACAGGTGAGAGCACAAAACACAGTGAATAAAGTTTGGCAAGCTTTTGAAAATATTTTCTAATTAATTTTGGATTTATCTAACAATATTTCATATTTAAAAATACATTTAAAATAATATTTATTTCTTCATTTTACTTTGCATATGTTTGTGTGTGTGTGTGTGTGTGTATGTACAGGCAGTGGTCGTCTTGGAGGTGTGTTTGGGGTCGTTATCATGTTGGAGTACTGCCCTGCGGCCCAGTCTCCGAAGGGAGGGGATCATGCTCTGCTTCAGTATGTCACAGTACATGTTGGCATTCATGGTTCCCTCAATGAACTGTAGCTCCCCAGTGCCGGCAGCACTCATGCAGCCCCAGACCATGACACTCCCACCACCATGCTTGACTGTAGGCAAGACACACTTGTCTTTGTACTCCTCACCTGGTTGCCACCACACACGCTTGACACCATCTGAACCAAATAAGTTTATCTTGGTCTCATCAGACCACAGGACATGGTTCCAGTAATCCATGTCCTTAGTCTGCTTGTCTTCAGCAAACTGTTTGCGGGCTTTCTTGTGCATCCTCTTTAGAAGAGGCTTCCGTCTGGGACGATAGCCATGCAGACCAATTTGATGCGGTGTGCGGCGTATGGTCTGAGCACTGACAGGCTGACCCCCCCACCCCTTCAACCTCTGCAGCAATGCTGGCAGCACTCATACATCTATTTCTGTTTACTTAGGGGTGTACTCACTTTTGTGGCCAGCGGTTTAGACAGTAATGGCTGTGTTGAGTTATTTTGAGGGGACAGCAAATTTACACTGTTATACACTCACAACTTTCCATTGTAGCAAAGTGTAATTTCTTCAGTGTTGTCACATGAAAAGATATAATAAAATATTTACAAAAATATGAGGGGTGTACTCACTTCTGTGAGATACTGTATATATATATGTGTGTGTGTGTATATATTCGAAATGTTGTGTCTACCATGTCTTATTCAGTCTAAAATATTTTTCATAAGCTTCTAACATTAAAAAATAACTTAATCAGCTACCTTACGCTCCAAACAAATGCTTACTTGTGTGTTGTTTAATGTCTTATTCTGTCTAAACCGTACATTTTGAGATAATATTCTTAATAAAATATCTAACATTAGAAAATGCCTTTATCAGCTACTTTATAAGAACCAATTTCAAATAAATTGTGTATTATAATATTTATTTGTTAAGTATTTTATATATAATTTGTAGAAATTGTTTCTAATTTTGTATTATTAAGTCTTAAGTATTGAGAAAAATATTCCTAAGAAGCTTCTGAGTGTAGAAAATACTTTGATCAGCTACTTTAAGAGCCAAGTGGTTTTTAATAAATTAATTTGTGAACTTTTGATTTTAACACAATTTGAAGTCAGGCAGTGCTAGGCCACCAGACGATTTCATCTGCTGAAGTGTACTCCAACGGATACAGGGGTTTAACTTTTTACCATCCCAATTACCATCCCAATAAATTATGAATTATTTTAAAATATTTATTTATTTAATATTATATAGTTTGTTGTCTTATTTTGTCAAATAAGCTTCTAAGATTAGAAAATATCATAATCAACTACTGTGTGTGTGTGTGTGTGTGTGTGTGTGTGTGTGTGTGTGTAGGTGATGTGGACGCCTGACTGGTACAGGAAGAAGGTGCGTGCAGCGGTTCCTCTCCTTCAGCAGACATCAGATGAGAAACTTCCTGTGGCTGAGCTGAAAGAAAGAGGGATCAGTACTCTGACCCTGCACTACAGCCAGGCCAGAGCTCAGGATATCAGGTACACACACACACACACACACATTCAGAACGTCAGCAGACATCTGCCTTTCTCAGTCTGTATTAAATATCATACTGAAAGCATTTTGCAGTGAAATATAACATCATAACCATACAGCTATCGCTATTATGGTACAATCATAGTGTATTAAAATGTTAATATGGAGTTATCATATGGGATACAGTTATTGGAAATATTAAATGGTGTAGATGTAAAATTAAAATATTTGATCAATTTTAATAGATGCATTTAGATAATTTATGGGTCTGTGTAATGTTTTGAGAACACATTTTTATTACTATGATATATTACAATGCATTTTGATTTATATAGTTATAATATACATTTTAATGCATAAGGTTTAAATTTTGGTACATGATTTTTGCTCTATACATGCATATAGATGCATACATTTTATCATCAGTTTTATTGTTTCATTTATATGAAAGTAGGGATGAGGTTTTGTTCTGCAATACTTCTACTAAGCAAACTTCCTCTCTGTAAATGTGTGTGTGAGCAGGCAGTTCTCTGGCAGTAATGTGAGTGTGAACGTGTATCCGGTGAACGAGCCGTGGCTCTATTCACTCATGTGGTGCAGCGGGGTTCAGTCCGTCTCTTCTGATGCCCCACACATCCTGAAGAAAGTGCCTAATCCTGTCTGGATCATGGTACTGATCTCTCACTGGCTGAATCCCAGTTCACACACTCCTATTATGTATGAAAAGTACATACTCTGCTGGCCACATTCAAGTACACAGGCCAGTTTTCCACAGATTTGGAACGCTTGTCATTCATGAAGTCCTACACATTGGCCGAATGCTAATTTGATTATGCTGTCATCTTCCAAGGATGATGTAGTGAATCTTGGCTGTTTAACACATTTTACTATCCATTCCACCGAATACTGTAGATTTTAAATTGACATGCTTTATTTCTGATGCAAGATCAGTATTGAGAAATCATGTTGCAAATGGTTGCATATATTTGCATCTGAAAAACCTGTAGTGCAAGGGATATATATATATATTGCTGTCAAACGATTAATCGCATCCAAAATAAACGTTTTTGTTTACATCATGTATATGTATTATGTATATATAAAAACAAACACATGCATGTATATATTTAAGAAAAATATCTTGTTTATATATTAAATATATTTGTATAATATAAAATATAAGAATATAAATGTGTATACATGGAAATATTTTCAAAATATATACTGTATGTGTGTGTATTTATATATATATATACATAATAAATAAACACAGTATACACACATATATAGTGTAAACAAAAACTTTTATTTTGGATGCGATTAATTGTTTGGCAACACACACACACACACACACACATATATAATTCATATTTTAATTAATTATACATTCCAATTTTATTTGATTGGGATTCTGCCTGAATTGTTTTCCCCGTTATTAGCTTTTTTTTATGTATTTATATTGCTATCTAATGGATAAATGCTGCTTTAACATGTTTTGTAGAGTGCAGATGAATATGGCCTGATATGGATCACTTCAGATTTAATCTCTGTGGCAATTGTCATTGGCATCTTCATATTTCAGAAGTAAGTGCATCTCTTTTAGTATGTCCTTCAAATTGTTTCTCAATACTTTTTGATACTTGAAGATTTTTTGCTGTGTCGGTAATGGCTTTACTCTCCGCTACGTGATTTCTGTGCTCGCACACATTTGCACGAAAGCCTGTTTGATTTTCAGAGCAGTCATTGGCATTAATGTTAGGTTGTTTTGTAGTTGGCATGCTTGCTATATCTCTGCTGGGCAGCCGGGCGCTTTTCAACTGATGGCTCTGCTTTTTTCTTCTTGGCAATCTCTACTTTTCCTCTGTTTTCTCGCTGTCCTCTGCTCTTTGCATGCACCTCTCCTCTGCTGCTCACTGAAATTGCTCAGCTATCACCTGATCAGGTAATGAGGATGAGTATTTTAAGGGACAGAATTCTTTGACTGTTTTGGCCTTTATTTGTTCTGTTTCTTCTTCTTTATCTCATCAAATATCTCAAGATGTGATACTCAGTTTCACTATAATGACCAGAACTTTATGGCACTTTCAGACCCTCAGAAGTGCGTTTTGGTGATGGTGTGTTGTCATCTTTTTCCTCAGGTGGAAGATGAGTGGCATGCGCAGCTACAACCCGGAGCAGATCATGCTCAGCGCTGTAGTACGTCGGCCGAGTCGTGACGTCAACCTCATGAAGGAGAAACTGATCTTCTCAGGTGAGACTCATGAGCACACAACTGTGTGGAGATAAAGCCTGGTTAATAAAGCTCAGAACAAATCACACTCTGTGACCTCTGCCTATGGCTGTGGCACATCACCCCCTGGTGGCAGTCATAATGCACCTTCAATATCTGTATTCATATCTGCATACGGTAACACTATACAACAAGGTTAAACATTAGTTAATGTTTTAGGTATCATGGACAAATAAGAAACCATTTTTATGGTATTTATAATATATTTTATATATATTAGTCAAACCAAAAATTATTCAGACACCAGATATACTTTTTGATATTTTTTTACTAGTGTGTGCAGGACACTTTAGTTCATTTCTGTAAGTGAGGATAGCAAAGTAAAGTAAACTGTGACATATTATACCCAAAAATTCCTCATATAGTGGACTAACAGTCAAATTTATCAAATTTGGGACTAAAAATTATTCCGACACTTTGACCTGACCATGTATTGCTTAAGTGTTATCTGACATTATCAAGATGAATTTGTTCTGACATAGGTTCTTGTCATATTTTATTACCATTTTCTAAACTATAGTGAATAAACTGTGATAATGTGTGAAATGTTGAAGGTGTCTGTATACATTTTGGTTTGACTGTGTGTGTATATATATATATATATATATATATATATATATATATAT